ACAACCACGGTAATAAGTCTTTACCTTCTTCTTACGTACTCGTAGCAGGGGGAGCGACCCGGAGGTGTGTTCTCACGGGGGGCACCCCAAAAACTAACTAGTCTCTTGCCATCCCAGTCTTGATGTGTCCTCCTTGAAACAATTACCTAGAGTTCCGTCGACCTCGCAGGGATCTTTTGATAAACCACTGTGTGATGTTGTACTTAACCTAGTCAGACGTCGCGGACCTTCCGGGACGAGTCTCCTGTACTCTCCGGGCAGACTCAAACTTGTTGCTGAGAACTTCCAAAGGCTCTTCCAACCCTCCTCTCCTACACCCAAGTCTACTCCTGGTGAGCTCTAGAAACCCGAGTGAGCGTGCCGCACAAACTCCTTCTCTCTACGACGATGATTGTGGTCTTTGTAGGGGGGGCACGTCGTACCTCCCACCTTTGTTAATATTCATTTGTAGGTATGCGTGTACATGTTCGAAATATAAAGCGGTCCAGTCTATTGACTTTTGTTAGTTCTTATGTGAGCTTTTTTCTTTCGTTCTTTCTCGGTTTCTGGTACAAATTATCTCAACTATGTGGCCTCACCGAGCTGCTCTCTGATGGTCTTGTAGCCAGTCCCAGCCTGGTGGAGGTCTACAGTCTGGTCCCTGAGGTCCTTAGACAGCTCTTTAGTCTGGCCCATGGTGGAGAGGTTGGAATCTGATTGATTGATTCTGTGGACAGGTGTCTTTTATACAGGTAACTAGTTGATGTTAGGAGTACTTTCCCAAAGGAAATGGACTTATGTAACCGGTCTGTGGGAGCCAGAATCCTTGTTGGTTGCAAGGGGATCAAATAATTACTTCCCACGGTTAAATGCAAATAATTTGTTATCTTTTATATAATGTTAATTTCTGGATTTTCGAATATAAAAACAAATGTATATAACGATATGAGTGCAAATATATATATATATATATACAAAGTCAAAGAGACATTTGTACACATTAGAACCTTAATAAAAATATGTACAAAACAACAGTCACTTCAATATTTTGAGAATGTACATTAGTGCAAGATTGTCTATAGCAGCGTAAAAAGTGTCTGGTGCTGGATTTGAGTGTCTGAGTGTGGGGGGGAGAAAAGTGACCGCGGCAGGACAATTGCAAATGGGTAAACTTACAAAATCGGCAAGGGATCAAATACTTATTTCCTCCACTGTGTGTGTGTGTGTGTGTGTGTGTGTGTGTGTGTGTGTGTGTGTGTGTGTGTGTGAAGAGGGGGATGTGAGTGTGTTTGAATGTTTATCTGTGAAATCATCCCTCCATTTTACTCGACCCATGATGAAATATGAATTGTATGATGCTTGGTAATCAGCCTTAATTTAACTCTAAATGTATTATCCCTTAGATTTCTGTTACTGTTTTATTTATTTCATTTTTTTTACTTTTTTTGGTTGTGATTTACCTATGCTATATCTAAAAATATAACTTTATATTCAGAATAGTGTGTCTGTTTAATTAAATAAGCCGATAAATAAGAAGTTTAAAAAAGTAAAAGAGAAGATCAGTACCACACTCCTGTCAGAGCTGGAGTAGGTTTGAATTGGATGGTCATCCAAAGGGAAAAAAATATTTTATCCTGAGGAAACATTTGACGCTCTGCTTTGCTGGAATCACCAGCGACAACAACATTATTATAACATAACTGTATGTGTCTTGGTTTGCTAGAACTGCTGCTAAAAATCTGAAAACAAAGTATTTTCATGGTGGGTGACCACAGGAGCAAGTGAGGATTCACTCAGGCTCGTTCCTGTTTCATGGATGGATGAACGAAACACAAAGATCAGTGCCCCCTTCACACACACCTCACATCATTATAATACATATCTAAAACACCTGTGATCATAGTGACACAGTAATGACTGGAAGAACGTCATAAACGAGGACAATGTATTGAATGATGAAGTTAATATTGCTCTCATGATTTTAAATAATGGTTGTGATATTAGAGCTTTTTACATAAATGAAGTACATTATTTTTTATATTTAATAAAAAAATACTCAATTATTTGAATTTTAGAAAAGGTAGTTTTCTAAAATTATTCCAGTAAGGGATGCAAAGCATTGAAATGTTATCTTTGTTATTTAATTACTTTCACTGAACACCAAGGTTTTAGTGTTTCGTGGATGGGTCATATGCTAACAGTATATAATGAGCAGAAAGCTTCATTGATGTTCACACAGACTGATAGTTTCATGTATATAATAATAAACACACTTACCAGTCAGTGGCTTTGCTTCATCACAGACTGTAGCTGAGCCCGCTGGAAGAGCTGAAAGAAACACAGACAGCATGATGCAAAAAACACAAAACAAGCAATCCAAGAAAATAAGAAAGATAGGCTAAAATCTTCAAAAGCATTTAGGATATTTTTCTCCTAAAGGGGCTAAAATACTTAAGTGCCCTTTTAATTTAGGTTTTGTCTCCAAAGTTAAGAAGGGAAAAGGGAAAAGTTTTTAAAATAAAATATCAACCTGAGGACCCATAATATATCAGGACAGAAAAGCATAAGAATTATATTTTAGCCACACATTTTTACTTCCTTTTTCAGTTGTTACGTCTTTACTTTTTTATTGGATAGTTTTTCCTTTTCAGAGTTTAAATATATAGATTTTTTTTTTGTATTACTTAGAACCTGTCTCCATAGTAACCTGTGATGAGGGCTTTGAGGGGGATCAATGCACTTCAACCCCTGTTGGTGTGGGAAGTATCAGATGCTATGTAACTCACACAATCCTAACGTGTACTCTACCAATACACAGCAGACAGTGTCAGGTTTCATGCTTTGCCAAAACGCTACTGTACCGCATGTTTTCCACTGAAAGATATGTATTTGAGTGTTTATTGGGTTGTGTCTTCTTTAATGCTTGTTCAGTGTCGTACACTCATCACGTTTTAAGCAATATTTATCACTGAGCTCTGGAGATGAATCCACTCGAAAGGAACTTGTCTTGCTTATAGCATTGCCACTCATACTTACGAAGTACTCAGATATTATTCTAAAGTAAAAGTAGGTGTACCAGAGTGTAGGAATACTCTGTTAAGTAAAAGTCCTGAAATTAAAATGTTAATCGCAAAAGTAAATATAAAATATACTTATAGTACCAAAAGTAAAACTACTCATTATGCAGATTGTCCCGTTTCAAAATAATATATATCCCAGGTAATTTTAATAACTTTGTATACTACAGTGTAGCTTGTGAATTTACTCCAGGTGTAACTAAGATCTGATTCAAGAGTTGATTAGGCTATATTTCACATCATTAATCAAAATCTGTAAAGTAACTAAAGGTATTAAATAAATGTAGTAGAGTAAAAGTACAATATTTCATTTCCAATTTTAGTAGGGTTGAAGTCCAGTAGCAACACATTGAAATGCTGAAGTACCAGTACAAGTCTCCCAAAATTGTACTTAAGTACAGTACTGGGTAAATCTATTTAGTTACTGTACACTACTGCACACTAAGTGTATAATTTGAACGCTCACAGTTCAACTTGTGAGGACTTACTCTCTGCCAGTGTGACGGTGGCGGCTGGGTTGACGGTGACAGGTAAACTTATCTCAGCATCCGAGTCTCCTGCAGGCAGGCTGATGATGGTAGCCTCCCCCAGCAGGTTACAGATCCTCTGCTGCATCGCAGTGAGGATGACGGGGACTGGAGTGCAGTCAGCGGAGGTTCCCTCTATAGCAGCCCGCGCCTGGGCCACTTTCCGCCGGACCTCCGTCTTCATGTCCGACCACTTCTTCTTCACCTCGGGCAACTCTCTGGGACAGGTGGTGACAGCGTTTACCTTTTTCAGGATGTCCCCCCAAGCGTTATTCTTTGCCATGTGGGTGACTCCAGCGTTGAAGTGGTTAACCAGTGTGTGCTTGTGTTTCTCTATTTCTTCCACAATAATTTCCACCTCTCTCTCCGAGAAATTCATTTTTCTCTTTTTCGCGGCTGATGCCATAATTGCACAAATTCCCCTTTTGGAGAGGTAATTGTGCGTATTGTACGCAAAAATAGTAGGATTTACTCAATTGATGTGCGCAACGTAATGGCTTCCAGAATCGGCTTCTTCTTCCTACAACAACGCTTACGTTAGCTGGGCGTGCCCTGTAGCCCCGCCCAGAGACATCCCATTGGTTGGATATCTCTCGGTCATGCAATATTCTCTTTCTCTATTGGCTCAATTAAACGCCTATTGAACAAGCTAAATAAACGGTACCAAATAAGAATTGTCCCCGTTATCTCACTTTATATCACAGTCGTGGTTGGTCAACAGTTGTTTCACACCATCTTTCACACACACACACACACACACACACACACACACACACACACACACACACACACACACACACACACACACACACACACACACACACACACACACACACACACACACACGTTGAATTACTTTGTTTTTATTTTTGTGAAACCTGCGTTATTTAGATCTGTAATAACCATAGACTGTATAATAATAGGCAAGCATATCTTCCCCACCCCCATTTTGCTGTTTTTTGCTATAACCACCAATAACTATCAGGCATTGTAACATAATTATCAGCAGGAATGTGGGTCTAATACTATCAATCACAGAGTAATACTTTTTATATGTATTTACTCATAAATATACATTTAAAATGTGAAATTCATTTTGTAGTTACAAGTTAAGAGGAATCTTTAGAAACGTAAAAGAAAGATTGTTTTAATTTAACAAACTCATAGTTTGATAAGATCTTTAATTTACTCAACCACAACATAAAGATTATGTTATCCATCTGGAATGGAGTTATAATTTATGATATCGGATTTCTCAGCCTTCTTTAAATCTATTGAAGATAAATGATCCCCCACTATTAAAACAAGGTGCTAGGAGAAGGAAAGGGGTTTCGCGTTAGTAATCTGATCAGTGTTTATCCTGATTGTTTTGTTACTACTTTTTCTATTCTCTCAGGAATTTAATTAAATACCAGTCTACATCTGAATTTTAAGTTCGGCTTACATTACACATCTGAAACAAAAGATGGCGCCAGTGACATACGTTTCTCATAATTCCATTGAATATCCTCATTTCCTATTCTAATCCTCAAATTCTCATTAATATGCTCATCTCCGTTTTCCAATCGAGGTGACACATTATTGACAAAGGGGCTATGTCTGTACAACTACTGGTCCTATGGTCTCCTTCCTAGAAAGAAGAAGTCACCCGCCTGTCAGTCAGAGCAGTCTCTGTTCAAATACCACAGCAGCTCCCAGCACCCAGCACCCTTTGATGAAGTCGCGCTGTAGTCTCGCGTTGTACAGCGAGACTTCTGGCGCAGCTGGCTCCCCGAGCCACAGTTTTTCTTCTCACTCAGTCGGCAAGTTAACCGACTAAAATATCGGAACACATATCTTACTCATAACGGTCTTTATTGAGGAACATTTCTCGTGTTTTGCGATATACAAGCTCGTTATAGACTCTGACACTCAATGCTGTGAAGTCATTTAATTAATAAAAGGTAAGGCGCTGACAGGTCAGGATCCGTGTCTCCCTTAACCGGCTTTTAACGTCAACACTCAGGCTAGCGTCACTCTAAATAGGCCAGTTTACTCGGCTAATGTATAAAGTGTTCTTGTAGATATTAACCATTTTCGTCTCAGGGGAACTCTGCAAATTGGTTTGGAGTAAAACGTCTGTTTTTTAGGCTTACCGGCTTCTGGTAGCTCTTCCTTTCAGAACAGGCTGAAATGGAGGGACATGTGACGTGGTAGTCAGGGCTCGAAAACACAGCTCGAGACACAGCGCTGGCCTTCAGTGCTCTCCGGCTGTTATCAGTACCGTACAGAGGTTAAAGCGTGGCGGACCGTGCCGGACACCTGTGATGCACCAGCAGGGTTCGTTGATGCCGTCCTTGCTCAGTGATGTATTCTGCCAGTGCCAATCAGGCGACACCCACCTAGGGGTCGACCCGGTCGGCGGGCACACTGAAGACCCCCCCTCAACAGCCCCCCGGCAGCCCGGGGCCGGGGGCCGTCACTCGGAGCCGGGTCAGTCAACGCATCAATGTGACACGTGTGGGGGGCCCGAGCAGGAGCACAGGCTGAAGGTTCTGTTCCAGGTCCTGGATGTGAACGGGGATGGAGGCATCTGTGTCAACGACCTGACTATTGGGCTGAAGAAGTTAGGAGTACACCGCACTGAACATGAGCTCAGGGTGAGTGCTTTCAACCGGCTGTTCTGTTTGTGTGTATACTGTCTCCTTGCTCATTGTCCACACTTCTATCTTACTTGTTCCCAGTGGTGTAAAGTAACTAAGTACATTTACTCTAGTAGTGTACTCAAGTACAATTTCAAGTACTTGTACTTTATGAGAATCTCCCTTTTCTGCAACTTTGTACTTCTACCCCACTAAAATTCAGAGGTGGAAGAAGTACTCAGATCTTGTACTTTAGTAAAAGTAGAAGTATCATAGTGTAGTAATATACTCTGTTACAAATAGCATAGCAAATGTTACTCAAGTAAAAGTATTAGCATGAAAATATAGTTAAAGTAGCGACAGTAAAAGTATTGTGCAGATTGGTCCATTTCAGAATAATATATGTTTTATAATGATTGATCATGAAAGTGTTCTCAAAGCTGGTAAAGGTGCAGCTAGTTTGAATGACTTTGTATACTGCAGGGTAGGTTGTGAATTTACTCCAGGTGGAACTAAAGTCTGATTCAACACTTGATTATATTTCACATCATTCATCCACATCTGTAAAGTAACTGAAGGTATTAGATAGATGTAGTGGTGTACAAGTACACCATTTACCTCTGAATTGTAGTGGAGTTGAAGGCTCAGAGTTTTTTATTTTGTCATACGAACATAGCTACAGTCTAGTTATGACGATGAAAATCTTAAGTCAGGAGGTATCATAACCTGATCATAACATGGAAATACTCAAGTAAAGTACAAGTAGGCTACCTCAAAATTGTACTTATGTACAGTACTTGAGTAAATGTACTTAGTTACTTTACAACACTGATAACATTCTGAGGTAAATATTTTACTTCTACATCATTACAGTATGTAATACCTTTTAGTTAATTTGCGGATATGGATTATTGATATAACATATAATTAATCAGAACTGATGTCTTATGTAAGTTTTGTAACTTTACTCTTTGATCAAATTCACAAACTACAGATCAGTAAATAAAGTAATTAAAATTAGTTCCATCTTTACCAGCTGTGATAAACACATTATTACATTCATAATTATAATCATACATATTTTTCATACATCTATATTATTCAGAATTTGGTAAATGTGCATAGTAAGTACTTTTACTTTATATTTTTAAGTACATGTTCATGCTAATACTTAGATTAAAGTAGAAATACCAGACTCGAGTGTCGGAATACTCGGTTACAAGTAAAGTGAAAAGTTCTGCATTCAAATTTTCACCCAAGTAAAAGTACATAAGCACAAGAGTACTTCTTTAACCTCTGCTTTTTCCTTGAATAGATTAATTGAAAATGAAATAAAAAACCGACAACATCACAAAGATTACAAAGATAATAAGAACGACACACCAGGGGAATGCAAAAACCAAGCAGTAGAAACAGACAAAGGTCAAGTATAATACAACATTGTTGATAACATTTCGGGGGGGAAAATAACTTATGAATACATCTTGACAAGTAAGTAACATGTTGGTAGCACTTGTAGGCCAAGAGACATACAGTGTCAGTGAAACTCTTCTCCAGTATAACTAAGCATCTTGCCTAATGAAGATAAAGGGAGTTCTGGAAACATTTGCGTTTTAATTTATAAACACTTTTATCAGAATATGCATTAAAGTCGACACTTGTTAGTCAAAACCATAGTCAAAACCTCATACATTGAGAGAAACATAATTGTATCATTGACAACCTTGGAAAAAGGGAAACAAGACTTGGACTGCTCTTAGGCCACGTTTACACGGAGACGGAACGGGTTGTATCAACTACAGTTCTCTATCGTATGGACGGTTCGTTCACACAAGGCCGTAACGGAACCGCGGAAACAGAGCCCTCAAACGATAACGGGTCCCAAGGTGGGTAGATCTGCGGACGGAACGCTCTGGGGGGCCAAACGGCTCTGTGTGTACGCCCTATGCGCCATAGGCCCGCCCCTCCCCACCTCTCCTGCTCATCCCTGCGTCATTGCTGATGTGTTTCGCCAACAACAATAACAGTGTTCCGAGTGTTTCGAGCCAGGTCCCGGTATCTCGCAGGACAGTGCATCCAGCAGGAGCCTCCAGCAGACCCCCCCGCACGGTTCCCTCGTCCCTTGGAAGAGGCGGAGAGGTGGGTGTTTTTCATCTGCTGGTGGAGTACCGGGGAGAACGTCCTGCTCAAGAGCCAGGCTCAGAGTTAGTGGCAGTGGGTGCGGTGCACCTGCCTTTTACAGCAGGACAACACGCTCGCCTCGGGGAGGGAGAAAAAGAGAAACAGAGGCCGCCGAAACAGCCAGAGCCCTGCCTCTCCCCACCTCTGCTGCTCACCCAAATCTACAGCTCCTCTACCACAACCATCAGCAACAAGTGGACATGGAGAACTAAATGAACTACATGTTGCTAAATCCACCGCGGAGAATAAACAGAAGGGCAACCAGGCCACCATGGAAACCATGCTCGGGAGGTCTTCTTCGCTGCTTTTGGTGTATTTTGTGGCGGAAGTACAGCGCTACTTATAGGCCCGGCATATGTCTCCAGCGGGTCGAGCGGTCTCGTGTGGACGGACACGTTTATTGAGCCAATTCCGTGTGGACGGAAGACTTTTTTGATATCGAATTCTGTTCGTTTTCGTTTTTGTTTCCCTGTAAACGGAGCCTCAGTTTGAGGTTTATAACACATACAGGGCATTTTCAACACCTAAGTTTAGTAAAGAAGCCTAAAAAACTGGCTTCACGTAAGTCTTGCCTGTAAGTCATACAGGAGGTATGTGACAGGACTGCCTGAGGGGCAGCCAGCATTTGAGTTCACAGCTTTTAGACCTTCCTTTATGTTATTTAAACACATGAACAGGTACAGTCTCTTTACAACGTCCTATACCAAAGGATTTGGTATAATTGCCATTAGTTAAGTGTTTCTTGTGTGTTGATTGCTTGTTGTTGTTTTTGAGCTGAAATTCACATGCTGAACATCACTTAATTGGAATTACTATAAGATACAGTTGTAATATTTTTAGTAGCTAATTCAGAACCTTTACTTTGATTAGGGTTTCTAGTCTTAATGTATTCAAGGGGATTCCTGCTGAATGCCAGTGGATGATGCATATTTGATTGTTCTTTCAGTTGATATAAAAAGGACAAACCATAGACAAACATGTTCAGTTACTTTTTGACCTAACAATTGAATGTGCAGGATTATCTAACTAACAGGAAAGTCACAGGTAGAAAAATAACAGTTTTGGACAGCACTGGTTAAGGCTGTCAACCTTTTAACACACGTTCCTTTTGAAATATTAGCTACAGCAGAACATAACGGTGCTGGACGACTGAAGAGGTTGTCCCTTGTTTGTGCCCTGAACTGATTATTATAGAGACATAATGATATACATTACATAGCTGAAATCACTTTTTTAATTACGCCACACATTCCTACCAATGAACAGACACTAACTGAGTGTAGTCACAGACCCGTAGTGTAACCGTAGTATACCCTTGTTTGTATAATGCTGCCTTTCTACCTATAATGAAGAATTGTTAGTATTTGGACCTTGTTTTAATTTCACTTGCCTCATTGTACAAGGAGAACCTATGCTTGCCTCAGTGTAGGAGGAGAACTAAAACTGTTCAAACTCTATCTGCACCTACACTTTCAACTGTATAAACTCTATTTTACTTTAAATGGATGCATTTTACATTTTTAGGCTATGACACACTGGTTAATACCTTGGGATTGGTTTCCTAACACAGCTTCATACAACAAAGAATGGTGAGATATTCAAGGTTTCATTTCAAACCTTTATCTAATCAGATTGGTCCCATTGAGATCATAGATCTCTTTTTCAAGGGAGACCTGCAAGGTTACTGTCTGGGACTGGTGTTAGGAGTTCTGCTTTAAAGCCCCTGTCACACTGTCCCGAAATTGACACCCGATGGACACACGATTAAGGAAATGTTCAAATTCGGCTCTGATCGTAACAACATCGGGCCATTCGTGAGGGCATCTTGTTATCATCGGTGCCATCGGGCATTCGCCCTCACTCTGATCGGGGCGAATGCCCGATGGCACCGATGATAACAAGATGCTCTCACGATGGCCTTACTTACGAAGGGCAAAATTGACACACAAATTCAACACGAAAATGAACCTTTGCAAGGTCCTTCGGCAATTTTTTGGCATGCCCAAGATTTTGCCACCGCTCACGAAGTTGCTGCCGGAGCCTAAGAAACTCCACCATTGGTCATACGATGGCTTAAGATGCCCTCACGAATGTCCCGATGTTGTTACGATCAGAGCTGAATTTGAACTTTTCCTTTATCGTCTGTCCATCGGGTTGTTTACAAAATCATGTAAACATATTATGTAAATAACCCAATTTGTGTTCTGTAAAACTAAAAAGGATATAATATATTATTTTGAAGGCGAGTTGACAGGAAGTTGTTGTTGCTATGGAAACAACATTACGGAGAAAACTTTATATCTTCTACATATAAAGACGGATAAAGTAAAGAACAAAGTCTGAAAATATCAGTACAGTATCATAGTACTTTAACATAATCGTTTTTCTTAGGGGTGCACCGAATGGTAAATTCTTGGCCGAAACCGATACCGAAAATAGGAAACAGTTGGCCGAAAACCGAATGCCGAAAGGCCGAAAATGATTAATAGAAATATATATATATATATACAATGTATACATTTTTTACCAATGTTGTTCAGCTACCTGATTATGGAAAAAGGCATGATTATGGCAAAACTTAACTTAAATAATAATCACTATTATGGGTCCATAAAACATTTATTCAGCACTTTTGAATGCATACAGTACATTAATTCCAAGTCAAGTGCATTTTCTTTTCTCTGTAGGATAACTACAACAAAGTGCATTCAGAACAAAGCCAAGGTGCTTTAAAACTGCATAAACATCTAGGCCAGTAGGCCTACAACAAAATAGTGTAAATAAAGACTGTAACAGCCAGGCCTTCAACAACAACAAATGCACCTATAAGTTTGGTAACCTAACGTGTTGTTGTGATGACGTAATCAAAACGCGGCGACAAGCACGGCGCGCGACCATGCTCGCGGCTGGCTCACAGCCAACATGTCTGCCGCTTGGAGATATTTCAAAATATCAGAGAAAGAGGCATGGATTGCGATTTGTAAAACGTGTTCAGCTGACATTTCTCGAGGGGGTGTAACTGCAAAGACTTTCACCACTTCGGGATTACTCCACCTCTTGAAATCAAAACACCCGGACAAATATGCGGAGTATGATCAACGTAACCCTGTTCTCTGACATTCGGTGTATTATTTTTTCGGTGAAAACACAACATACTCTGTCAACTACGAACACATCACTGCCGAGTTAATATTAGCGAGCTGGGGCGTCACGAGCTTTCTCAGCTTTCTCTACTCAAAAGTCAGAGGGGGGCCTTTTCTACACGTCGGATAGGACGAAAGGACTTACCAGTTACCCCTCGGTAAGGAATGGATAAAACCTCGGTCCTATTGTTTGGTTGCACAAAAACGACGACCCTTGACCAGGGGGAGCGTCACGCCTCGTCGCTCGAACAACCGGCTACGCTCGCCTCACGTGCACGACCCACACATGTCAAATTGTAACAGACCTNATCGAACCCACAACCTTCTGGTTGAAAGACGACCACACTCCCTCACAGCCACAGTCGCCCTGTAGATTTGATCAGTCAGCCCCTCCTAGCTGTGCAATATATACATATTGCACAGCTAGGAGGGGCTGACTGATCAAATCTACAGGGCGACTGTGGCTGTGAGGGAGTGTGGTCGTCTTTCAACCAGAAGGTTGTGGGTTCGATCCCAGCCCATGCAGTCAACATGTCGATGTATCCTTGGGCAAGATACTTAACCCTGAGTTGCTCCCGATGGCATGGCCAACGGTGTGTGAATGTGTGTGAATGTTAGGTCCTAGAGTAAGGTACACTGCTCTGTATGAATGGGTGTGAATGGGTGAATGACATGTAGTATGTAAAGCGCTTTGAGGGGTCTTAAAGACTGGATAAAGCGCTATATAAGTACAGTCCATTTACCATTTATCTATTGAAGAAAATGTTCAAGTCGTTTGCCCACTGATGGTCCCCACGGACCTGGGAGTCTGGGTCTTTGTAGCCAGAGATGGTCTTTAGGCCTCTCCAGACTTTTTCTTTTCTGATCTCAACCTCAGAAAGAAAACACATTTCCTGTAATGTTGAGCTGCCTGCTGAGTGACATGAGAATAGTACAAACCCTAATTCCATTGAAGTTGTCAGTTTAGTACCCCCACTCTTTTACCATGCTGTTATAGCACGTGCAAATTGTGGCTTGGCATTCTCTTTCTGAAATAAGCAGGGACATCCCTGACAAAGACGTTGCTTGGATGGCAGCATATGTTGCTCAAAAACCTGTCTGTACCTTTCAGCATTACTGGTGCCTTCACAGATGTGCAAGCTACCCATGCCATGGGCACTAACACACCCCCATACCATCATCACAGATGCTGGCTTTTGAACTTTAAGCTGATAACAATTTGGATGGACCTTTTAATCTTTGGCCCGGAGGACACGATGTCCATGTTTTCCAAAAACAGTTAGGAATTTGGACTCATCAGACCACAGCACACTTTCCCACTCTGTGTCAGTCCATCTCAGATGAGCTCGGGCCCAGAAAAGCCCATGACGTTTCTGGGTGATGTTGATATATGGCTTTGGCTTTTCATGGTAGAGTTTTAACCTTCACTTGTGGATGTAGTGACATACTGTGTTCACTGACAATGGTGTTCCAAGTGTTCCTGAGCCCACGTGGTAATATCCTTCACAGAATGATAATGGTTTTAATGCAGTGCCCCTTGAGGGATCGAAGGTCACCGGCATTCAATGTTGGTTTTTGGCCTTGCTTGCCGCTTACGTGCAGTTGTTTCTCCGGATTCTCTGAATCTTTTGATGACATTATGGACTTTATATGATGAATTCCCTAAATTCCTTGCAATTGTACGTTGAGAAACGTTGCTCTTAAACTGTTGGACTATTTGCTCAGGTAGTTGTTCACAAAGTGGTGAAACTCGCCCCATCCTTGCTTGTGAATGACTGAGCCTTTCGGGGATGCTCCTTTTATACCCAATCATGACACTCACCAAATGAACGTGTGGAATGTTCCAAACAGGTGTTTTTTAGCATTCCTCAACTTTCCTAGTCTTTTGTTGCCCCTGTCCCAGCTATTTTGGAGCGTGATGCAGGCATCAAATTCAAAATGAGTGAATATTTGCAAAAAAACACAACGTTTATCAGTTTGAACATTATTATCTTGTCTTTGTACTGTATTTAATTTAATATAGGTCAAAAAGGATTTGCAAATCATTGTATTCTCTTTTTATTTAAGTTTTACACAACGTCCCAACTTCATTGGAATTGGGGTTCGTAGATGCAACTAGATTTTCAGTTTGGGTTTGAGTCACTAACTAAAACAGCTTTTGTGTTCTGTTTCCAGCTGAAACTACTTTCCACACCCTGGAGGATGGAGGCGTGGTGGAGTACTGCACAACCACTGTGAGTGACTCCACTCCCACCATGGTGGCGGCCGTTGAGGCTCCAGTGGAGATGCTGGCTGCCTCCTCTGCCTCTCCCCCTCCACCTCAGAGTCATGCCAAACCTCAGGAGCTGAAGAGCCGCATCGCCCTCAACTCTGCCCGCCTGCTGCAGGAGCAGAGGGTCACCAACGTTCACATCCGTCAGATCGCCCAGCACATGGAGGGACAGAACGAGCTGCTGCAGATGATGCGGCGCTCTCAGGAAGCTCAGGCCTTCGCACAGGAGAGACAGGCCCAGGCGCTGGAGGGCACCCAGGCCGCACTGCTGGCCTTAGTGCAGCTGCTCAAACCTGCTCTCAAAGACCTGCGCAAATTCCTCCAGAGTGGGACTGAAGCATCCAACTCCAGCAGCTCCACAGCAGAGCAGCAGAGGTCCAGAACACCGCCACCTCCACAGCCGGCCGAGGAGGCACAATAGACTGTGTGTGTGTGTGTGTGTGTGTGTGTGTGTGTGTGTGTGTGTGTGTAAATAAAAAAACGTGTCAGAAGTTGCCTTTGCGGTGAGCATGTACAGAATTTTACTTTTTACCTTCTGTCTTTAACTAGTAGAGTTTATGTTATTTGAGACATTTAATTGAGTGTGTTTTTTAATGCAGAGATGCAGACGGTTATCAGTAACATGGAATTCTTAGTTTGATCCTATCACCCTGCAGTTCACCCTGAATGAAGAATAACCAGTCCTGTTCTCCACACCAGAGACGGCAGGGGTCTTCAGGTAGTGTGAACTGTGTCTTCAGAGCTGAAGAAAAACTTGAATAAAAATCATCTGCCTGTGTTTTGTCTCTGGGGTACATTGCTACTTAGCAGCCAGGAGGGGTCAGTGTGTGTAAACAGGTTTCATCACTACAGCTGTATAGTTTAAAGGTCCCATCTTTTGGCCATTTTTACTGATCATAATTCCATTGTTGAGGTCTATTGGAATAGATTTTCATTGTTCAATGTTCCAAAATCACATTGGTTATATCTCTCACAGGCTCCGCCCTCTACTGGACTCTATGGGTACTACCTTATCATGCAAGCGTTCACCTACTGGGACTTCTATAGACGTAGCCGGCCCCGGGGCGGGCCTACCTGAATGCGCGTGCATCTCACCGTATAAAAGGAGGCCTCGCCTCCTGACTGTCATCCCTTTCTCTGCAGCAAGCGGAAGTGAAACACTGAGCAAAGACGTGAAAGAGAAAAAAGATAAAAACAAGCATGGAACCACTCCTTGAGCACCGGACCTGCCCGACATGCCCTGGCCTGATCGCGGGGGCTGATCCGCACCGCCTGTGCTTCCAGTGTCTGGGGCCGGACCACGCCGAAGACGGCCTAAACCAGTCGCCGGCCTGTAACGCCTGCCGCATGATCCCTCGGCTAAGCCGCCGACATTGTGGCGAGCATTTCCGGGTGAAGTTCGGCCCGCAGGTGGAGGATCAGGACCTTGAGGTGGTGGAGATGGATGAACAGGATTAGCTTTGTGGGCTTTTTTGAAGAAAAAAAAAAAAAAGATCAGTTAGCTGAGTTTCT